AGGGGGGGGGGGAAGAAACACTCACCGGATAAGTTTTCAGTCCTGGCGTGCTGAAGCAGAACTGAGAAGGACGAGAACATGGCCACACGGATATGGACAAATAACTGTGTGTCATTCTTGTGCGCAGTGTCAATGACATCCACCAAGCACTGGAACACTGGATTGGGATCCCGAAGACAGCTGTGAGACAAAGTCTTTCAGAAATTGACAGACGACTCTACTTACACAGATGTTTCAAATTTTCATCGCATTAATCCTTCCAAGGAGAAACTTGCATGCTCACAAGTTAAAATGCAACAAATGACGTTACTATGAATTCACTCAGAGGAGAGGGGGGACCAAATCCCAAGTGGACAATAAGACAGAAGCAACAGTTTTTGGTTCAAGTTCCCTCTAGAACTCTGTTCAAGCTCTAAAAACCGAAGCAACAGGATTGCTAGTAGGCAAAAAGGTAAGGCTTATGTGACAAAAGCCCTTACAACATTCCATAGCATAAACAAATCTATAAGAAAGGATTACCTCTTCCACCTCTTGAGCAGCATCAGATAAAGACTACTCAGTTCAACAGACGCATTTATACTCTCTACGGCTACAACTCTGGAAACCTGCAAGAAAGAGAGTCGAATGTTAGTATGCAGCGTAGATACTCAAAGGAAAACCACGATTCGAGTGGGATTTAACACACAGCAACCTCTAACCAGCTCGTAAACCACATGACTATACATATTGTGCCAAGGAAACGCGTAAAAAACGTTCCATTTTGACTCGTTACTAAATGAGCCGTTCCCCTTTCCACGTTGGCTATTTCTAGAATGCAAACTTTTCTAGCCCTTGCATCTAAGATTTTAAATATTTGGAGACAAGGTAACAAAGTGTTTCTAGATTTGCTGTTTAACAGGCCAAAACATCTCACAATACCACCCACAGCAATGCATTGTCGAGATATATTTGCATTTGAACTCTGCCAACTGATAGCGATATGGTACTTTTAGACACAAAACCTGGGACTTGAGCGCCTGAAGAGTATCCTCCAAGATTAATCTTCTTCGACGAGTATCGTTTAGACCAAATATCTCATTCTGAAAAGGCGTATGACAAAGTTAACAAAACAAAATGTGATACCTGTGTTCCGATCCCAGAAGAGAAAAATACTTTAGCCAGTTTATTTTTTTTTAAATTATCTATTTCAAATAAGTGAGCACCTTTATACCGTTATAAGAAAATAAGTCACTGAAAGCAGTTCTGGCGATAACAAAGCCACAAGCACGTCCTCAAACAAACCAAAGAAATCCAGGATATGTTTTGTGAATCAATGTAGCAGTTCTTTGGTATAATTTTTTTGTCACTCTACAAATCTTACATAAGCCAATCTTTCTCGGTCAAGATAGTTGGATCTTGTTTCTACCATGTTTAACCAACAATTATCACGGAGTCGAGGGCCATAAAACCCCAATATCCAACCTTCTTGACCTCACGCTTAGTAAGTGGCGTAAATGTCTAATGAACCCTCACTCAGGTCAACATAGAACAAAGAAGATTCCGCCCTAACAACAAATTGTAAGCCTTATGAACAGAGACACCTGTTTATTAGCTCAGGCAGCCATAATAAAAATTTATCAGGTAGAATTAACTCAAGAACGTTTCTAGTACCTGAAAAGAAGAACAAACAACTAAATATGTTCTCCAGGCTTTGAGCAGTTTGAGTTTTTCTTCTTCAAACTGTTTTTCTTGATCATCGTCCATAGATTGATCCAAAGACTTGAGAAACTGCAACAGAAAATTCAAGTGTGACACCATGATTAGTTCGTAGACTCAAAAGCTGGTGTAGAATTATGCACTGTCGACTTGGAGAAATTCAAGATGATATTTTGGAATATTCTGCCGAGAGTTTCCTCTTTACTATAATTTTCTTCTAATCATAAATTCTTGAATTCCCCGACCTTACACTTTTCTTGCATACAATTGTTTGCTTAAAACCAAAAATGGCCTCCGAAGGTTAAAAAAGACCACCCGGCAATTGCTAGCAATTACCATGCTAAAGTTATCACTCCTTTTTCGTTCGAGTAATTCTATCATCAGTAAATGACATCTAATAATCTTCTAATCAACAGACTTTTAGAAACGGATTTTACCATAAAAAGTTAACGTTAAAAAGTAACGACCTTTCGACCGCTCTACGATTATTGTCAACTTGAAGGATAAAATTTCTTTATCATGCGCTTATATGATTAATGGTAAAAATGCTAGTGAAATACTGACTAAAACTCTAAAATATTTCCATAGAAACAGTACGAGAAAATTGTGGCAAGAATGTTAAAAAACGCTAACATTCGAAAGAAATTTCAAGATTTTGAAGAAATGTCAGAGTAAACTGGACTGTTTGATCTTTGAAATGTTTTTTATTCGCGAACTTGAACCAAAACTGAACAAACAGAGTAATTCGATCCGTGCTAAAGTATTTACCTATCCATTCACTTTTAATTTTGTTTCTTTCGCCTCAGCGTTTCTTTTATTATTCTTCCGAAATTTTCTCGTATTGCTTCTATGAAAATATTTTAGAATTTAGTCAGTATTTCATTAGCATTTTTACAATTGATTATATAAGCGCATGACAAAAAAATTTTATCCTTCAACTTGAAAATGACCGTTGAGCGATCGAAACGTCGTTGCTTTTTAACGTTAATTTTCATGATAGTCATCGTCCCAATTTATTGCGAACAATAAATCTACAACTGTCATTATACGAAAAGATCTCCTTACACTTAATTATGCATCAATCAAGTTGACTTGAATTGTTAGGAAACATAATTCATTCTGGATTGGTCTCGATTTGATTACTTCCGCTACCTCATCACCCCAGGCTACAATCGGTCACGCAAACTAAGTGCATGGCAACTGAGCTCCATACCGCTGATCAGAGTGACACGCAAATTTCTCATAATCTTAAGTAGCGACACGCAGTTTCTATTTTATTTTAGCGTTTTGCTTGACTGTTTCGATTTGTACTACCAAGATCAGAAGTCATGTTCACCGTCGAGAAAAACTGGCAAACAACAAGACCAACCATCAAAGAAAGAACAACGTTCATGCTCAACAATGAACTCTTCAGCGATGTCAAGTTCGTTGTTCGCAAGATGCATGGCGAAAGTGAGAGCCAACAACTGATTCCAGCTCACAAGTTTGTGCTCTCGATTGGCAGCCCTGTCTTTGAAGCCATGTTTTATGGTGAGCTGGCCGAGACTAAAGACTCAATTGAAATGCCTGACGCCGAGTACGAGAGTCTCTTGGAGTTTTTTCGTTTCATGTACAGCGATGAAGTGAATTTGAGCGGAAGTAATGTTATGGGAGTGTTGTATTTGGCGAAGAAATACATAGTCCCATCACTCGTTGATAAATGCTCGGAGTATTTGTTAGATAACTTGGAGCCATCGAATGTTTTCAGCATCCTGCCATCTGCTGAGAAATACGAAGAGAGAAACCTAGTGGATCGATGCTGGAAAGTGATTGATCAACAGACAGAGCTAGCCGTCAAATCTGATGGATTTGGTGAAATCGAGAGGTCACTACTTGAAAAAGTTGTCAAAAGAGACACACTGACAATTGAAGAGATTGAGTTGTTTAAAGCTGTTGACCTGTGGGCTACGAAGGAATGTGAACGACAACGTTTAACCGCTGATGGCTCAGTGAAAAGAGGGATGCTTGGAGAGGAGATAGTCAAAGCCATACGCTTTCCAACGATGAAACAGGAAGATTTTTCCACTGTTGTGTTGGATTCTGACCTTCTAAAAAAAGCGGAGATCAAAAATATCATCAAACGCCTAAGTTCAGTTTCGACGTCTTCAACTATTTTTCCTGACACAAAACGATATGGCACCAAGATATCGAGTGTTTTCGAAAAATGTTGCCGGCTGGGTTTAATTTCTTCTTTTTTTTGGTCTAATGATGATGGTCGTAAGGACTGTATCGATTTCTCGGTCGATAAAGACATAGCTCTACACGGATTGTGCTTCTTTGGTCAGAATGGGCAATCTCATTCGGTAACTTTGGAGCTAGTAGACACAAACACCAAAAAAGCGTTAAAATCTTTGACTGGAACATTTTCCTCAGTGGAGTTAAATTGCGAAGAATACAGCTATGACGGTTTTGAGGTGCCTCTTGAAGCAATTTTATTGAAAAAAAACACAAGATACGGTATAAGGGCTTTCATAAAAGGTCCTAGTTCGCAGATTGGGATGAACTATATCAACCCCGTTCAATGTTCGGGAGTAACATTTACATTTTTTAAAAGTGAGAAACCAGGATCTAGAACAGACGTTGTACATGGGCAATTTCCGATACTGCTGTTTTCTCTTTAGAGCATCGCGTAACTTTGCCGACTACTAACAGCGCAATCTACTGAACTGATAGTGCTTCAGTAAGCACATACATTAGGGAGAAGTAATTTGCTATAAAATCTTTCTAACTGAAAAACAGCTTTTGGCGCAATGTTGGCTGGCAACTTTCAGGTCTACGGTTAACTAAGCTATAATAGCCGATTCCTATGTTATTCCTGTGTCCTCTAAAAAAAAGTGCTTGTGGAACATAGATTTAGCACTCTGATTGCGTTGCATTCTTTAAAAATCAAAGTAATTCTCACCTGACCCCAGTACTGATATCTGTTCTCCGAACAGAAAGCTTTCAAGGATGTCTTCAGACTGTCGTCAATTTGACCTCTAACAAAGTGATAGTTACAAGGCTGTTAGTCATCATTGAAGCCCTCTGCAATAGATTATTTATAGCCTAGAGCGCTTGGAAAAAGGGGAAAAAAGCCAGAAAAGAAGTAAAAACTATTCGAATATCAAAATATAACTCAAAAGCTCCTGATCAGCGGTCCTAAATCAAGATGACACTTAATATCTAACAAGTTCATCCTTGAATATGACCAAATGTAATGATAACATTAGGCGGACGTTACATGACACACGGTCTATAAGCTCCTTGAGACATGATTTTAACCTACGATGATTAGTTTTTGAAGGAGAAAGCTGGAAATTTACAGGGAAGTTTAATATTTTACGAGGCCAATAAAACCCGCAAACAATGTATTGCGAATAATGGATGAAGACTACACTCACAGTATACACATATAAAATTACCTTGAGACATAGTAAGCTTCTAATGCAATTATCTGCATGGCATAACAACTTATTTCCATGTGATATCTGTAATCCTTTTCAATACAAACAACAAAATGAACGAAAGAAAAAACAAGCTGGATGGTTGAACAATACTTAAGCAAGGAAAATAAATTAAACACAAAATCAATTGAAAATTTATATTTTATTTCAACCATGATTTTTTTTTATCTTTTTGGAAGAAAATAAGAGAAAATGCGATTGTTTCTGTAGCCTTTTTTTTTTCTATATCCTTTAACTACAATAATTATCTGCAAAGGTAAAAAATATCATTTATTTTGTAAGATACTGTACACGTAAGAAATATATTCCCAAATATAAGAAAAACAATTCTTTGTTTTCCACAACAGCACTGATTAATAAGTCTGTTGCCTAAAATATATTTTTGTCAAACAGCTTTTGCCTACAGTCAGTATTTACCTCGTCTACATGTGATTCTATTCCTGTTATTAATGGTCGAGTTAACTTCTCCCAAAACTTTGGACTGTTAGAGAGGCAAAGAAGTCTACATTAGGTACAAAAGTATTTATTTTTATGCGAAGAAAACAATGCATTTCATATCAGCTGATAAAAGCCAACATCTCAGAAGAACAAATCAACTTTTCTCCACCGTCTTACTGTATTGCTAATGCGCTGGATCAGATTGGTCATGGGCAAGAAAGTTACCAATCACAATTCCTCTCTCTATCCCTTGAGTTTTTCAGTTTATTCACGAGGGGGATCCAGTTATTTTTGACAGTAGGGTTTGAAATTTATTCTCGACCAACTCACGCCCTCTCCCTCTCCTTTCCGCCTTTCCCTTCCCCTCTCCCTCATCCCTCTCCCTCCCCCTCCTCGGTTTCTTTCCATCCTCTTTCCTATTCCCCTCTCCCTTCCCCTTCTTCTCTCCCTCTCCTCTCCTCTCCTCTCCCTCCCCCTTTCCCTTTCCCTTCCCGTCCCCTCCACTCATGGTAACACAGAAAAGCTAGTTGAATAGTAACACGCAATCCTGTCGATGCAAGAATGTTGGTGTCAGACAAATAGTGAAAAATCCCACGAGTCGGATGAGTAGGGTGTGGGGATCCCCCTCCCCTCTTCCCCCCATCTTATAAACACCAGAGTGACCTCGTACGGTTATGGATCATTGGGCTCGTGAGTGAACAAATCTCCGAGATATCAACTACATCACAGTTATTGAAGGTGTCCATAAATTACCTCATTCTTACTGCCATAAGAGCAGCATCCCTTCTGTCATGCCACAGAGAGTGAAGTAAATAGAATGCTGCTGAAACTAGCTCAGCGGGAATGTGGTGACCTGCCTATAAACAGACGGAAAATTGTTTCTGGATGAGAAGTACATTTTCCTCAAACAAATTAAAACTGAAAGTTGTCGTCACGACAACAAAGTAGAAGCCCGACTTTAGTAAACAGAATTAAAAAAATAAGTCGGGCAAGGACTTTTGATAGTCGTCGTGTATACGAATTTTATTCTCCATCGTTGGTAAACTTTGCTCACTCGTGAGAGAAATTGTCAACCTGAAGATATATATTAGCACTGGGTCGTTGGTAGGCATTTAATGATCTATATATTACATAAACATTAATGAGATACTCAAATCAGAAAAGATTTTAAAAAACATAACTAAAGCACCAAATACATAATCACCCGCACGCTTACTGAGCCCGAAAAAGGACCACTGAACGGAGAAAATGAAAACCATCCTGATCATTTAAGAGACGACACTATTCGTAATGACACTTTTACCTGTTTCTCAGGGTCTATAATATCTAAAACTGCATGAAGACAGCTATTCTGTCCAATGACAAATTCCTGAAAAGAAAATTATCGTTTCATCAACATCAAATTGTTGATAATTCATCACTTGACTGATTGAAACGCATCATGACTGTAACCCCTCTGGGGACCTGATAGGAGGTAAGTCATTACCCACCAGGGATGTCACGGAAATTTTCTTTGAGGCCGAGAGCCATAACCACTGTATAATAAGCTGTAAAACAACCACGATCAGTGGTTTTGACAAAACTCAGCCATCTACATGAAGATTAACTTGCAACGGTGAGTAAGGGTACACGATTAATAATATGACAAGCATTTGTCCTAAAACATATTCAGCCTTCAGAGACACGAATTCACTTTAGCAGAGCACATGAAGAAGTGTACGCCTCTGATTTTATGTTTTGTTTGTTTGTTTGTTTGTTTGCGATACATGGACAGGCCGGTCCAGTTCAGCTTTAAAGCTGGTTTAAATGGGAACCTCTATAAGCAATAACAAGGCTAGACCACAACACCGGGGTTACGCTCCCTTCTTTTTGCGAGAGGTGCACGGGTTCTATAAGGTCCCCTGCTAAGCAGTGAAAAGTCTTATCATTACAGTACAATGTCTAGTCATTTTTGGATGTCAAGGCAAAGGCAGCACATTTTCCTCAGTTATTTTAAGACCCAGATTGTTTTTCTGGTCTAGGATTTCAGCCCTCGGCATCCCGCAAGGCAGTAATGAACCACCAGTCACAAATTGGGATTTCATAAAGAAAAACGACTCTTTCAATGGTTCCCTGAGCAACAGTAAGAAATAAGCCCTGTATTGCATGGTAGGTTAGGACGACAACTTAATTCCTTGTAATGGTCACGGAATATTTTGTTGAAAATGAAACTATCATTGTACCTTGTCATCTTTATTCGTCAAATCAAGAAAGAGCTCAATCAGTCCAGGTTGTGTTTCAACAGCTGTTGCTATAAACTCCAGTATAACTGATTTGAGTTTGATATCCTGCAAATCAATCATTGAAGCAAATTAGAAAATGATATCATTCTCACTTTCTAGGGGAAAAAAAGACTCACATAGCTTACAGCTTAAGTGAACTAGATCAGTACCTAAAACTCTCCTAACACACATTTTAACAAATAGCCCCACTCGCCAACTTGTTCTTTGTGAAACTGTCGATAAACCATTAACTACGAAATCGCCTTGTGCAAGTCGTTACAAGAGGAGAAAGATCATGTTTTCCATGCGCCTAAGCGTGGATGGTACCTGTTAGCTAACGAGAGAGTGTTAAGAGTCATAAAGTGTTGTTCAGTACCTCAGTAAGAGTCCTTAATCTTGACACAAAAGCGTCTCTCAGAGAAACAGCTTCAGCACCAAAACTTGCATGCATTGACATGGGAGCCACCTTAAAAAGGTAAAATAAAATAAAGTGAAAAACCCAGAGGTCACCTCGAACCTTAAATGAAAGATTGAGTTACTAAATGTTAGCTAGATTTTGAGTGAGTAATAATACCCCTTATAATTTCTTTAACAAAAAGTAACCTGTGCTTAAGGATATCATGCTGGATAAATGTTCAGCAGACAATCAGAAC